GCGTTGGACTGGAAAAGTCCCGGGTTCGATTCTGGTCATAGGCACTTGTCCAGGTTGTGGACTCGATCTCCAGTGGGGCATGCAGGAGGTAGCCAATCAATGATTCTCTCCCATCATTGATGTTTCTATCTCTCTCTCCCTCTCCCTTCCTCTCTGAAATCAAAAAAAGAAAAGAAAAGAATAAAAAAAGAACAGTGACTCTAGATCCAGACTACCTGAGTACAGATCCTCCTAGCTGGGTGACTTCGGGCAATTCATTTAACCTCTCTATAAATCTATTTCCAGATCTATAAAATGAGCATAACAATACCTATTTTGTGGGTTGATGTGAGAATTAAATGAGTTTTTGTATATAAAGTGCTTACAATAACAGAAAGCTAACTGCATTAGCTATTGTTAATTTGGACTGGCCTAGCATTAGTATTCATCCTCTCACCCCAACCTGCCCCCTGAACCTTCTAGGATTGGACTGTGTCAATCATTTGATGCTCTTGCCAATGCCCTCTCTTGTGCAGACCTGGAGAAGGGGCTCCTGAAAGCCCTGAAAGTTTTAGACAATTACCTGGCATCCCCCCTCCCAGAGGAAGTGGACGAGACCAGTGCTGAGGACGAGGGCATCTCTCAGAGGAAGTTTCTGGATGGAAATGAGCTCACTCTGGCGGACTGTAACCTGCTGCCAAAGCTCCACATAGTGCAGGTGGGTGGCCACGGTGGGAGGAGAGGATGGCCGCTGGGATGGCTTCCCGTGACCACCACTGCAAAGGTGATTTCTTTCTTAGGGCGGTTTCCATAGATTGCTGCTAATAGTAAATGCCACCCCTTCCTTCTCAGCGGTCATTGCCCACAAGACTGTTGCTTGTGAAAATTACATTCCAAGATACAAGCTGGGTGCAAGCCGGCTGGCGGAGAGGAACACATCCCAGTGTTACTTTCAAGAATGCTCTTCCTGCCACTGGCACTGCCAAATCCCCAGGCCAGACAGGGCAGGCTCTTCCTACAATCAAAGCTTTAGCTCCTCATAGCTTCGGTTTCCACCTCCGCTTGTGGAAGATGAAAACTGTTGGTTCCCATCTTTTGTCACAGCCTTAAAGCTATGGTTTTAGTTTGTGAAATCTGGGCCCGATGTCCGTCTGCCACAGAGCTGCGTATTGAACACTGAAAGGCAAAGTGGTGTGATGATTAGTCCTTGCCCCAAATGAAACAAAGAGAAAAGTCGCTGTGGAAATTTCAAGAGAAAAATTTAATCGTTTGTAATTTATAGCTCAATAAAACCAAGAGGAGAAAAGTAGTACCATTGGAATTGGTCTGAAAAGGGGCTTGTTATCAGTAAGTAGAGAGGAAAAGTGAAGACAGTATAGGACAATAAAGAGTTAAGAAAGCCGATTGGAGCAGATGATTCACGTGGCAGGTAAGAATCATAGGAAAAAGAGCTAGACAGTGGAGACTTAACGCCTGGACAAGAAGGCTGGGATAAGAGAAAGACCGCAGCGGGGCAGCCCACTCTGGCTTCCCCGAGGCTAATGTCCGCTCCTCTCCTCCCCGCCCAGGTGGTGTGTAAGAAGTACCGCGGCTTCTCCATCCCCGAGGCGTTCCGCGGAGTGCATCGGTACCTGCGCAATGCCTATGCGCGCGAGGAGTTCGCCTCCACCTGCCCCGACGATGAGGAGATCGAGCTGGCCTATGAGCAAGTGGCCAAGGCCCTCAAATAAGCTCCCTCGGGGCGCCCTCGCCCCCTCCCCTCCATTTCCCCCCACAAGGCCCCGGGTGGTTTCCCTTGGCTACCCAAGGGACACACTCCAAAATGCCCAGTGGGCAGTGAATTCTGGAGACTTGTGCAGGACTGCCTGGGGGGTGGAGGGAAGGATGGGGGATCGTGGGGGGTGGGGGTTGGGACTGATTGGTAGGACAATGTATTTCAGTAATAAAATACAGAATGAAAATCTAGTGTTGTGATCACACAAAGGGGGCTTGAAATGTGGGAAACCCGAATGCAGGGTGGGTCGGTGACCTTGAGCTCCGGGTAGAAGCCAGGAATTAGAAGAAGGGTGCTTGCGGTGATTTGGCCATTTTTACTGCTAGTCCATTGTCGCGTTGTCTCGTGGGTCCGTGCTGCGTTTGCTACCCAGCCTGAAGGGGCGGCCATGTCTGGGTGGGCCTGTGCAACGCTCGCCGGGCGGGGCCCAGTTCCGAGAAGGGGGGCGCAGTCCTGGCGGAGTGGGCGCGGCGTCGCGGGGCGGCTGGGCGTGGCCTGCGGAGCCCTGCCCTGTCCCGTTTAGACAATGCCCTGGAGCCGCCAGACCGCCGAGCCCCTGCCCCACCGGAGCACTGGCCCTCGCCTACCCAGGGACTCCTCGCAGCCAAAGCTCCAGCCCCCAAGGCTCGAGGAGCGGGGCTCTTCTCCGCCAACTCTGTCCTCACGGGGGTTGGGACCCCAGCCGAGATCACAGAGCGGCAGGAGCGGGGGTGGGCGCTGGAGGTGAGTCTGGAGCGGGCGGTGTTCCCCGGAGTGTGTTGGGGCCGGGATCGGGGTACCGGGCCCGTGCCAGCGCGGACAGAGTGCGGGGCGTGGGGGCGGCATTTGAGTTGCGGAGCTGAATGGGGTGGACTTTGGGGAAGATAGAGCGGGAGGGAAGGGAAGGGTCCCGGAGCCTGGAGCGGCGCCCGCCGCACGGAACCACGCCCCCCGTTTCCCCGCCCTTCGGATTTCTTTTGGACGCTCCCAGTCCTCCGGGACGCGGTCTGGTTCAGGCTGGGTCGCGCTGGGAGCGGAGTGCCCCGCTGGGTGGAGACGATATTTAACTCCTCCTCGCCCCTCTCGCCCTTTCTCATTTGGCCCCTAGACTTCCATGCCCCAGGCCCTCTCTCCCCAGCTGCCTCCTGCCCCACAGCCCTAGTGGGTTCCTCGCCGCACTTCGGGTCTGCACGGCTCGGAGCCGCGGAGGGTTAAGGGGGCGGGGCCGCTGCATTTTTGGGGAGTGAGCGCATCCTAGCGGCTGCCAAGAGGGGCACCGGGCAGGAGCCTCACGAAGCCCCGGAGCAGGGGCAACAGGTGTTTTGGAGATTACGGGATCCTGCTCTTGCTCCTCGGACTCCCCCTAAAGAAGCAGATCGCCACGGTGCGGGCGTTGGGTGGGCAGCCGAGGAAGGTCTGGAAGGGGTGGAGAGGAGAGGGAGGGGTGCCCCGGCGGCCGGAGGAAGACCCCGGGTTCTCAACCACCTTCCCACGCCCTTCTCTGCGTTCTCTCTCTCTCTCTCTCTCTCTCTCTCTCTCTCTCTCCCCCCACCCCCACCCCCCGTCTCTTCTCCCAGACAGCTGAAGTAAAAAGAGGAAACTGAGAAGTCAGCGCTGCCGGAGGGGGCGACTGTGTGGATGGGATGGGGACGCCGGGGGAGGGGCTGGGCCGCTGCTCCCACGCCCTGATCCGCGGGGTCCCGGAGAGCCTGGCGTCGGGGGAGGGTGCGGGGGCTGGCCTCCCTGCCCTGGACCTGGCTAAAGCACAGAGGGAGCACGGGGTGCTGGGGGGTAAGTTGAGGCAGCGATTGGGGCTTCAGCTGCTAGAACTGCCTCCTGAAGAGTCGCTGCCGCTGGGACCGCTGCTCGGCGACACCGCCGTGATCCAGGGGGACACGGCCCTGATCACGCGGCCCTGGAGTCCTGCCCGCAGGCCAGAGGTGACGCCAGGGGGCGCGGGGGGCATCCGGGCTTCAGGGAAGAAGTGGGGTGGGAATGTCTCGGCCCGCTCCTCTCGCCCTAAGGTGGATGGAGTCCGCAAAGCCCTCCAGGACCTGGGGCTCCGGATTGTGGAGATGGCGGACGAGAACGCGACGCTGGATGGCACTGATGTCCTCTTCACGGGTGAGGCCGGGTGCCCATCCCCGGAGCTTGGCGCAGGGAAGCAGGGTTTGGGAGACCGGGCCATCGCGGGTCTTGTTTCCAACTCATCCCACCCACCCCCGCCCTTGAACCTCTTGGCCTCCGGGGCGCAGGCCGGGAGTTTTTCGTGGGCCTCTCCAAGTGGACCAACCACCGAGGAGCCGAGATCGTGGCCGACACGTTCCGGGTGAGCAGCGGGGCCAGCCTCGGGGAGGGGTGCGGGGTGCCGAGGAGGGAGAGACTGAGAGCAGCTGGCGGTGGAGGGAAAGGCTGAGGGTATTCCCCCCCCCCCCCCCCCCGTCCCTGAGTACGCCCCCTCGCTCCCCTAGGACTTCGCCGTCTCCACAGTGCCGGTCTCCAGCCCCTGCCACCTGCGCAGCTTCTGCGGCATGGGGGGTCCCCGCACGGTGGTGGCGGGCAGCAGCGACGCTGCCCAGAAGGCGGTCCGGGTGAGCAGGGGCGGGGCCTGGGCGGGGCCTGGGCGGGGCTCGGCCCAGGGACGTGGGCGTGGCTATGGGCCGGGGGGCGGGGCTCCGAAAATGAGCCCCAGCCCCTGCCCTCAGGGCGCAGTTCATCTGTGAAAACACGCGAGAAAACAAGGAGGTCTAACTGGGCAGGGCGATGGGAGATCAGGGAACAGAGTCGGTTTACATTTACACGGTCTCCCAAAAATCCCCAGAGGGGGCATCTGAGCTGTGATGTGAAGGTGGTTGGGGCCCATAGGTGGGGGCCGGAGAAGGGGAGATGGGGCCAAGAGGTTGCAGGTGGAAGAACTGCATGTGAATCTGTGGTGGAAATTAGCACAGGTAACCCAAGCACTTAAAAGAGTGACTCCCAGTATGTGCTGTGTCCTGATTATTTCACCAACTAACAGTCCCCAGCACTCAGCCTGGGAGGGCAGCCAGGCCCGGGGTGCAGAGGCTCTGAGACTTGAATGCTGCCTCTTTCCTCTACACCAGGCCATGGCGGTGCTGACGGACCACCCCTACGCCTCCCTGACCCTCCCAGATGATGCAGCCGCTGACTGTCTCTTTCTGCGTCCTGGGTTGCCTGGTGTGCCCCCTTTCCTCCTGCACCGTGGAGGGGGGGACCTGCCCAACAGCCAGGAGGTGAGGGGGGGCGGGCAGAAGCTCCACCAACAACCACCAGAGAAAGGCATCTCAGGCCTTCGTAGGAGGAGGAGGGAGGGAGCCTTACCTGGAAGCCTGAGTGGGACCGTTCTGATCTGGCTGCAAGGGGTGTGTGGTTGTCTCACTCCCATCTCCCCATCCCATGTCCTCCCTGCAGGCACTGCAGAAGCTGTCTGATGTCACCCTGGTCCCTGTGTCCTGCTCTGAACTGGAGAAGGCAGGTGCTGGGCTCAGCTCCCTCTGCCTGGTGTTCAGCACACGCCCCCACAGTTGAGGGCCTGGCCTTGGGGTCTTGGCTGGTCAGGGATAGGGCAGTATAGGGAGTAGAAGGGGAAGGAGGATTAGACAAAGGATGGTGAATAGTGGGAACAGGGTCCCAAGGTAGGGGGAGGGCATAGTGTGGGGAAAGGAGAGAGATCATTGGGTGAGTCTTCTCTCCCAGAACTAATAAAATAGAACTGACCTTTCCGACTGGGCTGTGGCTGCTGTTTTACTGGGGCAGAGGGACAGGGGCAGGGCTGAAACCTGAGGTTGGGGATAGTGAGGGAAGGAGGCCTCTTTCATTCCTCAAACCCTCATCAGGCACTCGCTGACTCATTGCCCAGCCCTGTGTCATAGGTGCTCGGGCGCAAGCATGTACAGGGCAGAGGAGAGAGAGCATAGGTGGATTACTTGCTGAATTTATCTAAAGCTCAGATGACTCAGAGGTTGGTAGATTACTAACCCACCCATCGTTGTTGATAGGAAGAAATAACACTTGCAGAAATACTCATTTTTGTTCACTCATTTACTGAGGCTTAGCAGTGCTATGAAAAGGGCCATCTCCTGATATCAGGGAACTCACAATTCTTGAACATTGTTTTCAAACAGAAAGACAGGTTGTGATGGAACAAGTCACAGAAGGCTGTTGCTATGAGAGAAACAAGGGGACTCCCAGGGCATCAAAATGTATGCAGGGTGGCAAGGGATCGGGAACGGCTTCCAGAAGGCTGCACTTGAACTGAGTCCTGAGGATGAGTAAGAACTAGCCAGGCAGGTAGTGGAGAGGAAGGAAAAGTGTAATCCATGAAGAAGGCATCTTTGCACCGGACAAAGGCATACAGCACTTGGGGCCTGTGGGCGATTTCTCCAAGGCTGGTGTGTGTATGTGATGTGACAGACATAAGCCTAGCGAGTAGACAGAGTGCTGCAGTTCTGTGTACCCAAAGCCAAGGCCCCTGGGCCCAGGGCTGACGCTGAAGGAAGGAAATACTACAGATATGAAATACAGGCTGTCAGAAGTAAGTTAGTATTTGGGAAGGATCTACCTGCCTTCAGGGAGGAGGGCAAGGGAAAAAGGATGAGGTGGGTTTCTGGGTAATCCAGGAAATGAGCATACAATTCAGGTGGCAGTGCTGGGCATGAAGAAGGGTGTGGATTTGACAGTGATGTTAAAATAGAACAGAAGGACTTGGTTCATTGTGTGACAGGAAGGATGCTGCATGACTCAGTTTCTGGCCTGGGCAAGAGGGTTGATCAAGAGGGAATACAGAGGAGGATTGAGTGAGAGGTTTGGAGATGACGATGAGTTTTGGACATGCTGTATGACAATGTGTAAGGCCAGATAGACAGGGATGTCTGAGGGACAGTTTGGAAATCCCTCAGCTGGCATCTGAGCTGGAGAGTTCTGGGTGTCATTTGCCAAGGTGAGGGCTGAGGCCACTGTGGACAACTTCCCAGAAGAGGAAGATAAAGGGACAGACCTAGAATGGTGGGGAATACCGTGGCGGTAGGGAGAAAGGAAGAGGAGTCCAGAAGGAAGACATCAGCATTAATGAAAAACAGCTTTGCCCTAACCGGTTTGGCTCAGTGGATAGAGCGTCGGCCTGCGAACTGAAGGGTCCGAGGTTCGATTCCGGTCAAGGGCATGTACCTTGGTTGCGGGCACATCCCCAGTAGGGAGTGTGCAGGAGGCAGCTGATCGATGTTTCTAGTTCTCTCTCCCTCTCCCTTCCTCTCTGTAAAAAAATCAATAAAATATATTTTTTTTTTAAAAAAAGAAAGAAAAACAGCTTAAAGAAGGGAGTAATCAAAAGCCAAGCCAGATGAGTGCTAAATAATGTCTGCTGGGCGTGGCCATGGGAGCAGCGTGCGGGAGAAGAACATGGAGGAGACAGGTGTAACCCCTGGTTCAAGGAGCTTGACTGGAAGGGAGGGAAGAGATGGAGCGACTCTCTTGGAGGGCTGAGATGGGAAACGGGTCTCGGTGAGCTTTAGAGAGGGCACCAGTGGTAGAGGAGACATGGAGGGTATAGGAGGCGGGGGAGCTGAAGGAGCAAGATCAGTGGCAGAGACAGCCTGGAAGCCAGGTCTCCTGACTCCCAGTCTAGTGCTCATTTCTATCCTATGGTGCCTTCATTTCCTGGGGAGAGTCGAAGAGGGAGAGGGTAGTTCTGGAGAGCTGGAGCCCCCAGCTTGTGAAGTTTGGAGTAAGGGCTTTCCTTCAAACGACAACCGCATAGATGGTGGAGGAGTCAGCAGGGACCACCGGGGGCAGCCGGCAGGGCTGGCTGAGGGCCACACGATCCAGGTCTGCGTAGAGCAGGCTCTGCAAGGTGGGGAGGAGGGCAGTGTCTCGGAAGTCTGATTCCTTAGCAATCCAGGCCTCTGTCTCTCTCGGTCCAATTTTCTCAGGGATCCTGGCCGGGGCCCCTCCCATCCCCAAGCCCTCACCGACTCCTGGTCCAGGTCCCCCGCAGTCTTGGGCTCCTCGGCCTTTGCTGGTCTCTGGGGCTCGGCTTTCACTCGTGGGACTATGTGAGGGGGACAGAGCTGAAGGATTGAGAGAAGGTGACCAACTTGTCTGCTCCCTGCAAGGGCTCAGACTCGGGAATTGCGGGGTCGGGATGTGCGGGTAGGAAAAGGAAAAGGGGTGGGGTTAGGCTCACCAGGTCTGGGGAGTGGCCGCGGCGGGCGTGGGGGCGAGCGCCTGTCAGGGATGTGGAACAATCATCGTCTTTAAGAGCCACCAGTGTTGTCTCTCTGGTTCTCGGCGGCTCCGGGCCGCGCCCACCACCACCCTGCGACTTGCAGGTTCGGTCGGCAGGAGGACGCAGGCTCCACCCCGCGGGCGGTTCCCTCCCCGCTCGGATCCGGCCTCAGCGGAGCTTCCCCAGCCAGGGCTCCACCCACCAGCCGGTGGCCTCACCCGGTTCTCCAAACCGAACCACACCCCAAGGCTCCAGATCTGGCTTTTGTCTTCGGAAACCCTCCCGCCTCTGGCCGCGCCCCTCGAGCTCACCTGCGCTGCCACCAGACCGCACCCAACGCTCCTAGTCCCAGCACCAGCCCGGCGCCCAGCAAGAGGATCAGGAGCTGCGGATACACGGACCCTGGGGGAGCGGGGAAGGGCGTGGGCAGCGGTTCGAGGGCACACAGCTAGCTCTCCCTCTCAGGAATCCCAACCAAGGCTCCTCTCCCCGTCGGGAGGTGTCCGCTTGAAGTCCCCCTGCGCGCGGGGGCTTCGACCTACCCAGGCTGGGCCCGGACCCCCTGCAGTCGGCCGCGTCCCCCAGCACGTGGAGCACCGTGTGGCTCTCGTCCTCTTGGCGGCCCCTGCAGATGAAGGTGCCCGAGTCCCCTGCGCTCAGAAGCAGCTCTAGCCGCCGGATACCAGGGTGGTCCAGGACTCGTAGGCGGCCGGCAAAGGGCTGGGCAGGAGACACGGTGGGGGTCCCGCTCGAAGACGCCCACAAGATCCGGCGGCGTCCTTTGGGCAGGCCCTTGCAGGCCGGGAAGCTAGGCGCCCAGACCCAGCGGATGGGCTGGGAGACCCCTACGCAGGAGAGATTCACCCGGTCCCCGGGACGGCCGTCCAAGGAAACTAGGGGAGGCAGAGGCGGGGGTGGTTAGGGCAAGTCCACAGGCGAGGAGACTCCCCCTCCCCTCCCCTCCCTCCCCTCTCCCACCGTCCTGGGTCTTCCCACGCACATCCCGCTCCGCAGTCGCCCCCGCCCCGGGCCTCAGACTTGCCTCGCTCATGCTGATTCCCCAGGGACAGCTTGCCCCCGGGGTCCCCCTGAGCCCTCCACAGCAGCAGCAGCAGTAGCTGCAGAACCAGGGCCATGGCTGGGATGTGGTGGGGAGAGGAGGCGAGTGAATCAGCGGAGGAGACCGGAGGGAAATGGGGGGGGGAGCGGGGGTCGGCGGGTCTGGGGGCTCTGATAAGAGGGGGCGGGCCCCCAGCTGCCGGATCCCTCTGGGAGCACTCAGGCAAGCTCACCGCCCTCAAACAATGCTCCCTGGCTGTGCGCGGCGCTCGGTCGTTGGCGCAAGCATTTCCCAGGCTTTCACTCCTGCAGCCGAGCAGGTCGGAGCATCACGAATTCTGCATCCCGGCCGGGTTCAAAACCTGCCTTCACCACTGCTGGCTGCGTGCTGTGGGCATCGCCTAACCTCTCTGGGCCTGTTGGCTCATCTACAAAAGCACCTGCGTTGTACAGGATTGTGAGAACTAAATGCGTACTCCTCAAACGCCCAGGACAGGGCTGACTCACGGGAACACGAAGTACTTTCCACTGTCTCACTGTCTGTTCTTACGGAAAGGGCCCCTGCCTCCTGCCTCTGTGCCCACGCGGCCCCTCAGCCACGCACCGCCCAGACCAACAGGTTTGATTGGATGGCCCTGGAGTGGGTGCACCCGCTCCGCATCCAGGACTTCACCGGCCTTCGCTGGACAGCGCACCTGAGGCCCGCCCAGCCCAGCCCAGGCCTCTGCTGCTGTGACATCACAGACACCCTTGGTGACACCACAAACCCAACTCCTTAATCCTGTGGCTGAGCAGTGGCTGGCAAGACCAAATAGGAGCTGAATTGAGATTAATTTGGCTCTTTCCATCCAAAATCTCTGCCCACATGTTCTACCAGTGGCCCCAGGGATCCAAAATTGGCAGTCGTCTTGGGCCACACTCATTGTCTATTTCCCAGGAACCAACCAGCAGCTGCTGGGGGCGGGGGCCGTAACATTGCAGGGGCCTTCGGTGATGCCTCGGGAGAACAGAGGACTGGTCGCCGGGAGGAGCACCTTCCTCTGAAACCAAGAACCAAAATGGCTCACCTACATTCCACCCCAATCCTGCCCCACCTCCCTCACCTCTCTCCCCTCCCCCACTCAGTCCTGTTAGTCCCTCCCCACCATAATGGGGAGGAGGGGCCACCAGAGGCAGGGAAGGGAGGGACTGTTGGGAGTATAAATGCGAACAGGCCACCCAACTCCCAGAACTGGGTCCCCTGAAATCTGCTCTGTCAGCTGCTGCAGTTGCTACCATTCTCAGAACCCTCACCATGAAAGGCCTTCTGCTGCTCGCCTTGTCTTCTTTGCTGTGCTGGGTCTCAGGTAAGCACCTGGGGCCCCAAGGACCTGGTTCACCCTGCCCCACCCACCACCCCACATTACCCACTCCTCAGGACCCCAAGCACCCCTGGCCCCAAATGGCTGAGTTCTGTGCTTCCAGAACCAGGTCTCCCTGTGACAGGATCCTGGCTCCATTCTCAAGGACTCATGTTCCCACCTCCAAGACCCACTCTTCTATCAAGCCAGGGTTCCAGGTCCCCTTTCCCCAGTCCAAGGTGCCCCCTTCTTGGGCACCCTAATACCAGTTCCCCTGCCAGCCCCACTCCAGTGGAAAACACACCAAGATGCAGCTTACCTGCTTTCTCCTCTCTCCGCTGCGCTCGGCAGGGCGTCCTCCCAGAGCCTAGGCACCCCGCCTGGGGCTTCTTTGCACCCCACCTGTCATCTGCTCCATCAGGGACTTCATGCTTAGTCCCTCGAGCAGCAGCCTTTCCTAGATGCCTCCTGCTCCTCTCGGGGGCACGTACCCCCAGGGACACAAGCTTTCTGGAAGGTGCCAGTGACTTCTGAGAACCTTCTAGGGCACCAGGGAGATTTCCCCAGCCTTCTAGGGAGGGAATGCCAGGCTTGCTCACCCCCAGGGTGAGGGGCAGTCACAGACTTGTTCACCCTTGGACCAAATCCCTCCTTCACCAAACCTTGCATGCCCAAACCTTGAATTAGCTGAGGCAGAAACTCTGGGCTGCCACCTTCTGCTCCCAGGCGGAGTCTGATCTGTCCCCCTGATAGTATTCCTTTCTGCGGAGAGCTCCTGGGGGAGAGGATTCGTTCAGGTCGGGGCCTCTTCCCACGCGCTCGGTGGGCACAGGAGGTGAAGAGTAAATTGCTAAAGCTGGCCGCACATGGCCTTCTTGCTAGCTTCAAGCTCCAAGCCGTTTCTGCATGTGCTGTATCCTCCATGATTTTTATTTTTATTTTTTAAATGTATTTTTATTGATTTCAGAGAGGAAGGGAGAGGAAGAGAGATAGAAACATTAATGATGAGGGAGAATCATTGATCAGCTGCCTCCTGCATGCCTCCTCCTAGGGACCGAGCCCACAACCCAGGCATATACCTTGACTGGAATGGAACCCGGGACCCTTAGGTCCGAAGGCCGACGCCCTACCCACTGAGCTAAGCTGGCGAGGGCCATGATTTTTATTTTGAATAGTTCTTCCTATTTCAAGTCTCTACCTGTGAGCTCCTTTGAATTCTTTCATCTTCTTCCCCACCACCTCTGTCCCACGGAATCCTCACTTTGCATCTAGCCCAGCCCCGTGGTGTTGTTGTTGGTAGCATTCCCCTCCTGACTCATCCTCAGGTGGAGTGCAGTGGAGTGGAGAAAGGTAGTTAGGGTGTGGGCTGTTCACAGCAACAACTCCACCCTCACCCACTTCCACTTTTTCTCTATCACTCACCTGCTCTGTCCCTCTCAGACCAAACCGGTCAGAACACCTACTGCACTGGTTCTTCTCCACCCTTACCCCCTAGCCCCCCCCCCCCTCGGCTCAGCCCCAGGTGAGTCAGACACCCCATCACCTCAGCCTGATTTGTGTCTTCCCAGCTGACATTCGCTGTCACTCCTGCTACAAGGTCCCTGTTCTGGGCTGTGTGGACCGGACGTCCTGCCGTCTGGAACAAGGACAGAAATGCCTGACAACAAATGTGTACCTCGGTAATCTGCCCTTCTTTAGCGGGGACCAGGGCCGGTGGGAGACTCTATGGCTGAGGCTGAGGCCCAACTGGGGCTAAGGCTGAGCTGGAACAGAGAATGACAGCAGTGAGAACTATTGGCCAAAAATTATCACATACCAGGCCCCATTCTGTGTCTCTACATGGATTGTTTCAATTCATGTTCATGACAACCCTATGATGTGGCTGTTATTATACTGAGGAGACAGCCTCAGAGAGCGGCAGTAACAGGTCCAAGGCAGCCCAGCCGGCCAGTGACAGGTCTGGGACTGGGTGAAGGGTGGGGTCTGGAAGTCAGCAGGAAGATGAGACTGAGAAGAGAGAAAGAAGGGGAAGGTGGGGCAGAATTGGGAGGAAAGGAGGCTGAGTGAGTGCATGGGGTGGGAAGTGGACACAAGCATCCCAGGTGCCCATCCCAGCTGACACCACTGCCCACTCCTACCCCCAGGCAAGATGTGGGTTTTCTCCAACCTTCGCTGTGGCACACCTGAGGAGCCCTGTCGGGAGGCCTTGAACCAAACCAACCACAAGCTGGGCCTGACCTATAACACCACCTGCTGCGAGAAGGACAACTGCAACAGCCCGGCCCCTCGGCCCGCCCCGGCCCTGGGCCTGGTCCTCCTCGCCTCCTTGGCTGGCGTTGGCCTCTGGCTGCTGCACTGACACTCACTCCTCCCCCTGCCTCAGCCTGAGCCTCTCTCCCTGTGTCTCCGGATCCCCTG